CCTGTCCCTGCAGAAGCATTGTACTACACAGACGACACAGCTATGGCCAGGGCCCTGGTGCAGTCCCTGCTGGCCAAGGAGGCCTTCGACGAGGTGGACATGGCTCACAGGTGAGGGGGATGGTCTGGGGTGAGGCAAACCAGGTGGGCAGCGTTACTGCTCTTCCTGACCAGAGCCATGATGTCCCTGCATGCCGGGACCCCCGCCCTCAGCAGGGCACTGTGTCAGGCTGCTGCAGCTTCCCACGCTGGAAACCACAGCACTGCTGGTACAGGCTCCGCAGGCCCCCCAGGCTTCCTCTTTTCCCAGAGCAGCCAGATGTCTTCTCTCCCAGCCCTGACAGGCATCTTTTAAACCCTAATCCGGTCTTCTTCTCTCCCCTAGATTTGCTCGGGAGTACAAGAAAGACCCTGACCGGGGCTACGGTGCTGGAGTGGTCACTGTCTTCAAGAAGCTCCTGAGCCCCACGTGCCATGATGTCTATGAGCCTGCCCGGGCCCAGTTCAACGGGAAAGGCTCCTACGGCAACGGGGGGGCCATGCGGGTGGCCGGCATCTCCCTGGCCTACAGCAGTGTCCAGGATGTGCAGAAGGTAGTCCAGGCGGGCTGGCTTCTGGACTCTCCTGCCCTCCCTGCCCCTCTGCTCTGGGTTCTGTGACAGCAGGTCTTTTGCCTCCACTGCCTCTGCCCTAGTTTGCCCGGCTCTCGGCCCAGCTGACACACTCATCCTCCCTGGGTTACAACGGTGCCATCCTGCAGGCCCTGGCTGTGCACCTGGCTTTGCAGGGTGAGTCGTCCAGTGAGCACTTCCTCCAACAACTCCTGGGCCACATGGAAGAGCTGGAGAGTGATGCCCAGTCGGCCTCGGATGCCAGGGAGTGAGTGTGCCTGCATGGGGAGCTGGGGCCCTCTGGCATTGCCAGAAGCTGAAGCCCGCCTTCTTTCATTGCAGACTCTAGGGAGGGGTGGGAGGAAGCCCCTTTGCCTTGGCTGTGCTTCAAGGCTCTCAGGGTCCCAGAGAACAAAATGACTGTCCCACCTCTTGTCAGGGCACCTGCACGTGGGCGTCAGCCTGACCACATCCCCACCTCGCCCTCCCACACAACCCTTCCCCCTGCCTGGCATCTCCACCCTGCTGGCTCCGACCTCCCTGAAATCTCGCCCCTCTCCCACAGGTTGGGCATGGAGGAGCGTCCGTACTCCAGCCGACTGAAGAAGATTGGAGAGCTTCTAGAGCAGGACTCAGTGACCAGAGAGGAGGTAGTGTCTGAGCTAGGTGGGTAGTCCCCCCACGCCCGTCATCCTTCAAGGTCAGCCTTGGGCTTAGGGATGGGAGGGGAACATGGAGTCATGCCTGCCAACATGTTTTTGCCTCGGGCTGCTGTGACCGCAGAGCCAGCTCTCTAGGGTCCTTGGTGAATTGTGAGTACAGTGCCTTCTTGCTGTAGGGCCACAGCACCTTCAGCCTTACAGATAAATGTCCCCAAAAATGGCAGCTGGCCACTAGTCTTTACAGCTGGTGTTGATAACTGCTGTTTGTTTACATAGCATTATTACTGTGTTCCGGGCCCTGTGCAGAGTGCTTTACCTCTGTGCTCTCATTTCCCTCTCCCAGTGGCCCTGTGAGGATTACTAACTTGATTCACTCTACACGAGGAGTCGAATCCAAGATACAGGACCCTTAGCCATTAGGGCACTTTCCTAGTCACACAGCCAGTAGGTAGGGGAGCGAGGATTTGAACCAGATAGTCTAACTCTAGAGCCTGTGATCTTTGTCACAGCCCAACTTGAAGCTGAGGTGTTGACTTGTGGCAGGAACCCTGGGGACATGGTGGCGGGGGGGTCAAGTTCCCGTAATTTGGTTTCCCCACAGGGAATGGCATTGCTGCCTTTGAATCTGTGCCCACCGCCATCTACTGCTTCCTGCGCTGCATGGAGCCCGACCCCGAGATCCCCTCTGCCTTCAATAGCCTCCAAAGGACTTTGATCTATTCCATCTCCCTTGGTGGGGACACAGACACCATTGCCACCATGGCTGGGGCCATTGCTGGCGCCTACTATGGGATGGAACAAGTGCCAGAGAGCTGGCAGCAAAGCTGTGAGGGCTATGAGGAGACAGATATCCTGGCCCAGAGCCTGCACCGGGTCTTCCAGAAGAGTCTGTGAGGGCCACAACTGCTGGGACTCTGCCATGTCCAGCAGGACCTACTGCAGCTCAGACTGGGAACCCTGAAGTTCCCCAGGCTTGGCTCCCTGCCTCAGTCTTCCTGCAGTGTGGGTGGAGTGCACCCTTGGGGCTGGGGTCTTTTTGGGGGAAGTCATTGGAATGGTGTGTGAGGGACTGGTGCCTCCCTGGGGCTGGGTTTCTGGCTGGTGCAGAGCCTTGGGCACTCACAGCTCCTCAATCAGACATGAGGGACCAGGGCAGGTTTTATTTTGGAGCAGTACTCGTGGCATTTTCCTTTATTATCTAGGACATGGGATTTGGGGAGGTGGAAATGATCTGCAGTATCATCATTTCTCCTTGTTGGCATTTAGCCATTTTGCCAGAAAGCCTGTCTTTGACTGGGTAAGGCCCCTGAGCAGCAAGATTATATGGATCAAGGGGACAGACACTTGAATCCAGCTGATCTAGATACACACCTGGCCCTTGGCTGTCGTGGGCTTGTTAACAGCTTCCAGTGGAAGTCAACAGCAATAAACAGCTTTCGGTAAATCCCACCACTTGTTCCTATGTTTTTCCTCTGCCCCGATTGGATTCTTCCCACTCTGACCTTCTGTTCTTAGTGCCTCTCTGTCTGGGCTGCACTCTCCAAGGAGCTAGGACCCCAAGGCAATGAGCTGCTGGGTTGTCAGGCAAATTCCTCCAGTTCTTCCAACCAGCTGCGTTGTGCAGCCAGGAAGGGCAGAGCAGGCATGGTTTGGTGCTTTTTCCTGTTGGAGGTCACGCAGGATGGCCCAGGCAGTGGGCAGGAACAAGCCAGATTTTCCTGCTCTTGGAGCCTGACTTCTTCACAGGTTGCTCCCCAGATAGGACCAGGCCCAGCTGGGCTGGGAGCGGGAACCCTGGAGGAGGATGCAGAGGGCACCTTCTGTCACCAGACTGCTGACCTTTGGGTGGGGATGGCACAGCATCTCTGGTACCCTGGGTGGACGGACGGCGGTGCCTCATTCTGCATCATGGGCCCCAGTCAAAGGCCTCGCCCCACTAGGAAGTTTTGCACACCATCCATTTCGAAGAAAGGGAAATGGAAAGGGAGGGGACGCCTCCCCTCAAACTTCAGGGATATTCTCTGAGCATCCTTCCAGCCTCAGTGGAGAGAGAAGCCTGCCCAGCTCTGCAGCCAGCCTGAGGTGTCAGGACTGTTGAGCAGGTCTGCTTTCAGCCAAGATGGGGCTCTGCCAGGCTGGGGCAAACCACAGGACTTTGCAGGGCATGGCTTGGTCTCAGGTCTGCCATCTCCATCCCTAGAGCTGGGGACAGAGCCCTAGCAGCCAAGCACGGTAGGCTGGGGGGCTGGTGCTTTCTGCCCAGGACAGCTGCCCCAGCCCTGCCTTCAGCCTTGGGCCTGGCACTAGCACCGCCCACAGGAGCAGATTCATGATTTCATTCATAATTTGTATCAGATGTTGAAACTTGGCCCTTGGGATCCTGAGCCAGCTGTCATGCTCCACTACCCCTGAGAGCTGCAGGAATGTTCAAGGGAAGCTCGATCCATCTCCCCAGCTCCAGCCACGGCCTTACTTCAGTTTCTTAAAATGCCTCTTGGCATTTACTTGGTGCAGAGCCCCGCCAGCTTCGGAGCATCGAGCATTTCTGATGTGGTGGTGACAGAACCCGTGGCCGGGGAGCTGGTAAGGAATGCACGCTCCTTGAGAGAGGGCAGAGGGCAGAGCTCCTTGGACGCTTTGTGAAATCCAGGGGCTTGAGACATCTCTGCCTCAATGCCAATTTCAGCACAGTGCTGTTTTATACAACAGGTTTTATTGAGGTTGTGTCAATACAGTCAATACCATGATTTTTCTTTTCAAAAAGAAGTCCCATTTTCTTTGATTCCCGAGTGCATTTTCCCAAATCTTCTGTGACACAGGGCATGTAATAGATATGTAAAGAACTAAGCTTCCTATACCAGGTTAGAAATGAAATTACTAATGGAAAACATTTAAACCTTCATTTTTAAAAAAATTAGAAATCAGAATATAAAATGCACAAGGTACTATGTAGTTTTCATAGTTAAAACCTGACATCATTTATCAAAGCTAGTCAGTTAAGTGGACACCTGGAACTAAAATCCCATAAACATTTTGCAAACCCCAACCACTGCTCCCCAGAAGCTTGAGGAATGACATTTAGCAGAAGCTCAGTTCTGTGAAACAGCTCTTTTTTTCGTTCCCTCCCCCCACCCGCCTTCCCTCCTTAGGCCCCGGGGGCTCCCACTGAGAGCTGATGAATTTCCGCCCATCAGAACCCCTCCCTAACGGGTCAGATGGTGGGGGCTTTGACCCAGAAAGGAGGCTGAGCAAAAGGCCCCACCGGGTATGGCCTGAGACGCCTTAGTTCTCTTGGGTGTCAGGCGGAAAGAAATCCACCATGAACCCCCACCAAAACCTGTTCTTAAAGTGTCACTTGAGCAGATTTCAGTTTTCACTTCTCCTTTTGAAAGTTAAAGTAAGCAGTCAAATGGCCTGCTTTGTTGGGAGAAGTTGTGGGTGGGGAGGAGGCCTGGCCAGGGGCCTGAGGGAACCGCAGTTCAGCAATCAGAAGTCAGGTCACCCTCCACTGTCAACACAGACAGGCTGGCATTGGCCAATATTGGGGCTGTGCCACAAGATCACCTTGACTGACCCAGGGTCACACTCGGTGCAGGGAAGTGGACTGGCTTGGGGAGGGCTGAGGGAGAGGCTTGAGCCGCAGCGAAAGTGGCCCTCCTTGCGGGGGCAACAGTGTCCACATCCCTGCCACAGCACTAACCTCGGCTTTATCCGCTCAGCTTGAACTCGTGGCTGAGGGGATGTGAGTGGGGTCCTGCCTGTTTCCTGCAGCGGAGCTCTGACTGGGGAAAATAGCAGAAACTTCCAGAGCCAACTCATTCCAAAGGGGCCTGTTGGCACCCTTCTTCTCAGAGCCTCAGCCTCCTGGGCCTTAATCCTACAGGAAATCGGAACCAGAGGGTGGAAGGCGAGGAAGCCCCCACAGATTAACCCCTCTAGTAGACACACATACCCACCACGTGGTTCTTATTAAGGAAAAGCAGGCAGGGGCCTTCTTCATCCCCGAGCTTGTGTGCACCTTGTTCTGAGGGTCAAACAAGCGGCTCCCTGCCTTGGGGATGTGTGTTGCGGGTGGCAAGGATCCCTTACGATTTTGTATGAGGCAGCCATCCCCCAAGCAGGTGAAGGGAGAGAAAGGGAGGAATCCCGTGTTCACTGGTTGTCCATCCTGCCTCGTGCCTGCCTGTGGCAGTCCCTAGGGGCCTGCGCGGCTGCCCTTACGCTGAACAGAGCCAGAGTTGGTGAGGGCAGCCTGGGAAGATGGAGATGAATGTGAAGAACTGCCATCCTGCCCCAGATCCCTGCTCCTACCCCTCACAAACCACCTTACCCCATGGCTGCAGCTGGAGCCTGCAGAGGGGGCCACGCACCTGTGCCCGCCAGGGACAGACCTGATGCCACAGCATCACCCCTGGAGTGGCAGTCCTGGCAGGGTGTCCACACTGGCCACCTTGGTGGATCCCCCTCCTCTCCCTTTCCCCTGGAGGAAAACGAAAACTCTTCAGGGGACCCACCTCGTATGCTGGAGGTCCCAGGGGAGCTGGAAGAGCCCCAGCCAAGAACTGAGGGTGGTCATGCCCTGTTCCTTGAGCAGGTGCCATCTGGGGGCCAGCAGGAAGGGCAGGGCTTGGGAATATGTCTCCCAGAAGGGGGAACTCAGTCCCTCTCAGCTCCGACTCAGAGAAGCAGCATCCTTCACCGCCCAGCAGAGGCCAGGACTCACAAGGGGGCAGGGGTCTGCAATGGCTGGGCCAAGTGTCCTGGGGCCCTGCCTGCAATGGGGGCACAACCCCAACATTGCATAGACACTTAGGGGAGAGGAACTCAGGCCAGCCTCTTCCAGAAACAACCTCAGCCTGCGTGGAGGGAGAAACCAAGTCAGTCTCCTCGGGCCAAGGCCACAGCCACCTCTGTTCCTGCCTCTGTTCAGCCTTTGGTTTTTTCTCTAAATGGAGGTTCTTTGTAACTGAGAAGGTCTCTCTACCACTAAAGAGGAGGAGGCCAGGGCAGCAGGGCCCCCCGTGGGTTATGTGGGGCAGAGCAAGAATCCTGAAAAGGAGGAGTGGATGTACTCGGTGGAGTAGAGGCCGTTGGCCTGGTCCGAGGGCATCTGCACCCAGACCTGGTCGTTGGGCCGCAGCTGGAGCACGGCCCCGCCAGACGCCTGGTCCAGGTAGCCCTTCTTGTACTCGTCGTAGGTGTAGGTGGCTGGCACGTTGTTCTTGTACAAGGCCACCCACACGTTGGTGCCCTTGACGTGCACGTGGTAGGCAAAGTAGTAGACGCCGCCCACAGGGCAGGTGAAGATGCCAGTGGCTGGGTTGTAGCCACTGTGGCCGTTGTAGAGAGTCCGGTCAAATTTCACAGGCATGCCCGAAGCGGGAAAGGGTGAGGTGAGCACAGCGGTGAAGGCAGGCGTGGCGTGGGCCGATAGCTCGCCCAGCCCAAACTGTGGCTTGCCCCCCTTGCCCAGCACGGCACCCTCCACGCCACCATTGGGCAGGTGCAGGCCGGCGATGCCAGTCTCATCGAAGGCCCCAGGGGCGCCAGGGGGGCCAGGAGGCCCGGGAGGCCCAGGAGGGCCTGTGAGTCCTGGGGAACCGGGGATGCCAGGGGGCCCCGTAGGCCCAGCCATGCCGGGTTCTCCCACTTTCCCCTCTCCAGGGGGCCCTGGCAGGCCTGGTTCCCCCTTCAAGCCTGGCAGACCCTGGGGCCCGATAGGGCCAGCTGGGCCCTGGAGTCCTGGGATTCCTGAGGGGCCTCTCAGGCCAGGCTGCCCAGGGAGCCCCAAGTCACCCTTCTGCCCCAGGGCTCCTGCCACCCCTGGTCCCCCAGGGCGGCCTGTGAAACCCGGCTCACCCTTGGGCCCAGTTGGTCCAGGGGGTCCATGGGCCCCAGGAAGCCCCCTCTCTCCTGGGAGCCCAGGTTTCCCAGCCAGGCCACTAGGCCCTTGGTCACCCCGAATGCCAGGCATTCCCGGGGGTCCTGCAGGCCCTGCCTCCCCTTTAGGCCCAGGTGCCCCACGTCTGCCAGGGAGCCCTGCAGACCCTGGAAGTCCAGGAGGGCCCCCAAGGCCCTGTGGGCCCTGCTCCCCTGGTTCCCCATCCTCACCCGGCTCACCCCTGTCCCCTAAGAGCCCAGGGACCCCAGCTGGGCCCCTGTCCCCCTTGGGGCCTGGCAGTCCTGGCATCCCATAGCCAATGGGGCCTATCAGGCCAGGGGGGCCCCGGGTTCCTGGTTCCCCTTTGGCCCCTGCTGGGCCCTGTGGCCCTGGCACCCCTGCTATGCCTGGTACCCCCACACCATCCACTCCAGGGGGCCCTTTTGGGCCCAAAGCCCCTGGCTCCCCCCTGGGTCCTGGCACCCCAGGAGGCCCAGAGTCACCCTTATCTCCAGGGATACCAGGAAGCCCATCCAAACCTGGTTTGCCCAAGCCAGCTGGACCCGGGAGACCAGGGGGTCCGGGGGCACCTCCCTGCCCCGGGGCCCCAGGCAGCCCTGGCTGGCCCACTCCATTATCCCCCTTGAGGCCTCGATCACCTGGGGGCCCAGGCTCCCCCTGGGGCCCCGGCTCTCCCCCAAATCCCGGGGGCCCTGGCACCCCCTGGGGACCTGGTTTTCCAGGGACAGCAATGCCTGAGGGCCCAGGAAGGCCAGGGGGTCCTGGGGGCCCCCGGAGGCCTTGGTCCCCTCGTATTCCTGGCTCCCCCCGAAGCCCCGGCTGCCCTGGTGGTCCAATCTTGCCTGGGAGCCCTGGGGGACCAGCTTTGCCCATCCGAGAAAAGCCAGGGGGCCCGGCGGGGCCAGGCTGCCCATGTAGCCCAGGCTTTCCAGTGCCTGGTTTTCCTGGGAAGCCAGGAGGGCCGGGGGGCCCCCGAGGCCCGGGTTTCCCAGGGGGGCCAGGCTCTCCTTTCAGGTCCATCGGCAGCAGCGGTAGAGGCATTTCTGAGAGAGAGACAGAAGGGCCAGTCAGGGCCCTGGACAGTGGAAACCGGGGACCCCTCCACCCACTCCCCCACACCAGCATGGGGTACACTTGGGGAAAACAAGGCTCTGTATCTGCTCGTGAAGACTACGCCCTGGTCTCCCCCTCCCTGCTCTCATGGAAGATGAGGTTGGGGGGAGTCCAGTGGCCATCTTGTGGGCTCCTAGCACCCAACCTACCCAGGCTGGGCCTTCCCCAAGAGCTTGCGGTGACTCTCATCCCTGCATGACCTGGGGGTGGAATGGCCGCCAGGTGGCACCAGCAGCCCTCCTTAGAGCCAGTCAGAGCAGAGCCCCCCTCCAACTTCCCCACATACCTTCCCGCCCCCTTTTCCACCCCACCTGAAGCCCACTTCTGCCAGCCAGCCACACCCCTCTTTCAGGCCCTCCGGGAGTGGGAGGCCCTGGACCAGCATCAGGAAGAAGAGTGGAGAAGGGAAGATCTTTGGTGGGGATGAGGGGCTGTGGCTGGGGGGCCTGGGAGGAGCTGCTGGAGGTCGGGAGGCAGGGTGGTGGGGGTCAGGAGCTGTTCGAGGCACTGTGGGGCGGGGAGGCGCTCACCCAGGTACTGGCCCTTGCCCTCACGGAAGGGTGGCCCCACGGGTCCCTTGTGCATGGGCTGCACGTACTGCACTGGCGCGTAGCCTGCTGCCCCGCCGGCCCCGCCGCCAGCGGCCGCCCGCGGCCCACACCCCAGCACCAGCAGCAGCAGCAGCAGAGGTGGCGGTGGCAGCGAAGACAGGGGCGTCAGAGCCCCCCGCATGGCGTCCGCAGGCGTGCTGCAAGGAGGAACCAGAGGGAACATCAAGCCAGCCCCTGGATGGTTTGGCACCGGGCCCAGGCGCTCACAAAAAGATCAGAATTTAGCTATTATTCACAGGCAATTCCCCAAATCTCAGAGTCCGAAGAAGTTACCTCCTGAACCTCTCCCAACCCCGTCCATGGCTCTCCATCCCGATCGCTGTCTCCTGGACCCCTCCCCTGCACAACAGCCTCCCCCAGACCAGCCACTCTGCAACCAGACACTCTTCCAGAGCACCAATCTGACCTCGGCAGCCCCTGCCCAAAACCCTTTGATGATAACACCCACTACCATTTCCTGGGCTGGCTGTCTGCCAGGCCCCGGGCTAAGCTGTCTAGAGATGGGAACTCACTTAATCCTCCCAGCACTTTCACAAGGTATTATTATTGTCATCCCCATTTTCCAGATGACAAAACTAAAGCAAAGGTCTCTAGGAAGCAGAACTGGGATTTGACTTAGATCTCTCTGACTTCATATTATTTTGATGCCCTTCTGAGGCTCCCCGCGGCCTTCAGGATCAAGTCCATCGTGCCCAGCATGGCATTCAAGGCCTTTTACATCTAACCTGTGCCTGTGTCTCCAACCCCATCACCTACCACCCCTTTCTCTGCCTCTGCCCTCCCCTACCCTTTGCCCCAGCAACACAGAACTCCTTGCAGTTCCCAGACACCAGGCAGCCTCACACTTCTGGGCCTTTGCGCCTGCTATTTCTCTGCCTGCAATGTTCTTCCCCTCTCCTACTCATCCTTCAAGGCCGGGGAAGCTGTCACCCCTTCCTCTAGAAAGTTAACCCCTCACTCTTTTTGGCCCCGACCTAGCCCTGTCGCAGTATTGGCTCAGCTCCGAGAACAAGGCCCGGGTGGAGAAGAAGCCAGGCTCTAGATTTGGACAGCCAGGCTGTCCTCCACTCACAGCTGGGGGAACTGGGGCAAGAGGTTTCCACTCTGTGAACCTGTTGCCTTATCTGTAAAATGGGATAATGTTTCCACACAAACACATGTACACGAATGTTCATAGCAGCATTATTCATAATAGCCGAAAAGAAGAAACAACCCAGATGCGCATCAACTGATGAGTAGATGAAGTGTGGTATATCTGTATAATGGAATATTATTCGCAATAAAAGAAAAGGTAGTACTGATAAATATTACCATACAGATGAATCTTGAAAACATTATGCTAAGCGAAGAAGTCAGTCACAAAATCATACTATATGATTCCACTTATATGAAGTGTCCAGAACAGGTAGATCCATAGAGACAGAAAGCAGATTAGTGGTTGCCTAGGGCTGGGGGGAGGGGAAACGGGGAGTGACTGCTAATGGGTACAGGGTTTCTACTGGGGTGATGAGAACGTTCTGAAATTGATTTGGTGATGGTTGCCCAATTCTGTGAATATATTAAAAAACCATTGACAGCCACAATAGAAAACAATATGGAGATTCTTCAAAAAATTAGGAACAGAACCACCATATGATCCAGCTGTTCCACTTTTGGGTATTTATCCAAAGAATGTGAAAACACTAATTCAAAAAGATATATGTACCCCTATGTTCATTGAAGCACTATTTACAGTAGCCAAGACATAGAAACAACCTAAGTGCCCATCAACAGAAGAATGGATAAAGAAGATGTGGTACACACACACACACACACACACACAAACACACACACACAATGGAATAGTACTCACTCATAAAAAATGATGAAATCTTGCCATTTGTGACAAGATGGATGGACTTTGAGGGTATTATGCTAAGCAAAGTAAGTCAGATGGAGAAAGACAAATACCATGTGATTTCACTCAAATGTGGAAGATAAACAAAAAAACCAAAAACAACAAACAAACACATAGATACAGAAAAGAGATTGGTGGTTACCAAAGGGGAAGAGGTTGGCAGGAGGGCAAAATGGGTAAAGGGGGATATTTGTACAGTGACATATGGAAACTAGACTTTTGGTGGTGAACACGATGTAATGTATACAGAAGTCAAATTATAAGGATGTACACCTAAAATCTATATAATGTTATAAACCAATGTTACCTCAATAAAAAAAAAATTGAATCGTATACTTTAAATGGGACAATTGTATGATATGTGCATTAAATTTCAATAAAGATGTTATTTTTAAACTGGGCTAACAACCTGCTTCTCAGGCTGCTGTAATTATTAGAGATACTGTGTCTGCCTCACCACAGGCACCCACTGATGTCTGAACAAGGGACTATCTGGCACTTTGCACACCCAAGGAAAGCCCCACTTCCCCTCAAGTCACAGGGGCCTCTCCACACCTGTGCCTGGCTGCAGGCAGGATCTGGGGGTAGGTCATGCACACCTGGGGACGCGTGCCGGAGCAAAGCCCTCCCTGGTGCTGGGCCGAGTCTGGAGCTGCAAGCTGACGTTCCTGCAAACTCAATATCAGACTGAGCTTTGCAGGAATGAATGCAGGGCTCCGGAGAAGGTCAGGGAAGCCACCAACTCGGCTCTGGGGTTCAAATCCCAGCTGGGCCATCAACCTGTTCTGTAGCCTTGGGCAGGTCACTCAACTCCCCCAGCCTCAGCATACAGTAATACCCACCACTCACGGGGCTGCCCACATGCCAGGCCCAAGCTCAGGACTTCAGAGGCTTCATCTCATGGAATTCTTTCAACGACCCCCGAGGCTCATGCGATTATTATCTCCATTTTATAGACGTGGAAATGGAAGCTTAGACTGTAAGAATCTTACCCAGGACACACGACTGGCAAGTGTGAGAGCTGAGGCCTCATCCAGAGCTGCCCTCAGCACAGGCCCCCTGCTCCCACTGCCACCTGGCTGCTGCCAGGACTCATGACGCTGCGGGGTACAAGCCTGGCCCTCAGGTGCTGCTGCTGGAGGCTCTGGCCGGACACCGTCCTGATGTTTGATGTTCCATCCCATCAGCCCTGGGAGGCACGTGAGCCCTGCTTTAGCGATGAGGACGCCCAGCGCAGTCAGAACCTACACCCAGGCAGTCTGCCCCTTGAGCCCCAGCCCTGACAACCACACCACCCCACCTGCAGCACAAGGGCCCTCCTGCACGGGCCACCTGAGCCGGGGGGCCTATGGGGGTAAGAGGGGTGCTCAAGGGTGCACAGAGCCAGAATGCTCTGCCTGGTGGGTGGCAGGCGGTGAGGGAGCAGGTGAGGGGGCAGAGCTTGTATCGGGAAGCAGCGGGAGGGAGTGAGCGGTTCTGGCCTGGGTGGGCCAGAGGCCAAGGTCACGGCACCACCACAGGAGGACTCAGGACAGGCCTGGCTCTGGGGAGCCCTGACTCCCTCCCAACGCTGAGCCCAGGCCTCAGTGGGGGCGGGGGGTGATGAAGGGTGCAGGCAGCCTCAGGCTCAGCTGGGAGGGTGCTTAGGGCGAGGAGGACGGAGGAAGAGCACAAACAGGCAGGGCGCCATAAGAAGAGCCCCAAGTCCAGTGAGGAGCCCGGGCAGGGCCCCCAGCCAGCTCCCCATCTTTCATTCCTCCTCGGCAATGCAGGTCTCCAGGAAGCGTCCCTGCCCCACACCCTGTGGCTCCCTGAACTTGCCCCACCCCAGCACCTCCTGCCCTGCATTCCCTCTGCTAGGCAGGACAGGTCTGCTGCAGGCCCCAGAGCAGGTGTTTCCTGTGGAGGGAGGCGTGTCTGAGTGAGGATGACTCAGACCTCCAGTCAGGCACCCGCCTAGGCGCCTTACATTCAATATGTGATTCAATTCCCACCGAGCTCTTGTGTCCTCCTGTCGGTGAGGAGCCTGAGGTTTGGAGGAGTACAGTGATGTGCCCACTGGCTAGAGCCAGGAGCCAGGATTTGAGCAGAGCTCTGTGAAAAACTTGAGCTCTTAACCGCTGTGACACACTGCCATGGGGGAGGAAGGGCTGGAGAGAGCGCCAGGGAGCAAAGCTAGAAAGAGAGACAAGCAGAGAGAGAGACACTGTCTGGGCTCCAAGCCGCCTGCGGGTTTGAGGTGGGAAGGATTACTCCAGCTCTGAGTGGGGAGGCTGGCATGTGCCAGTCCAGGTCAGGAGCTGGGGAGTGGAAGCGAGGGCCTGGCCGTGAGAAGGGGTGTGCTGGGCCTGTTCGAGGGGCTGCAGAGAGAAGTCACACCCCCTAGAATGGTACAACGTGGCAGCCCAGGTAGGACAGACTGCCCCCCAACCCCAGCCGCCATCAGAGCCAAAGGTGCTTGGGCGCCTCTGAGCCCCCTGCCTCCTTTTCACTGTCACCCCTTTCCAGCAGCCCCCATACCCCCAGACTCCCTGAAACTGTCTGGCCTCTGCACATTCGGTTCCCTCTGCTGCTTCCTCACCTCCTAACTCTGACTGGTTCTTGGACATCTGGGAAGCCTATTGGAGCCTCTCCTGGGCTCTGCTGATGCCCGTGGGTCCCGGCACAGCTCTCATTTCCCTCTTTGGCTCTTCTCCTCTCTCTACCCACCACGTTCCCCCCACTCCATGCCTGGCACAGGACTTGGCTGGCACACAGTAATGCTCCACAAACATTTGATGAACTCAATTCACTGTCAGATTTAAAGATCACACCAGTAACTCAGTCCTTCCTCAGCCTTTGCACAGATCCATGTCACATCCACCCACGGAGCCCCGCCCCGGCCAGAGGGGCTTGTGTCAGCCAGAATGGGAAGAGGTGGAGACACTCACACGGCCTCAATCACAGGACTTCAGCTGACAACAGCCTGCACAGGGAATAGAGGTGCAAAGGGATGAACAATTCATTTGCTTGCTCCCTGTTCTCCCCTTGGGGAATGGTGGCCCCAGATGACAGCATCTGGAGTGTCAGGGGTCGGGGAGGGCCCTGAGGCTCAAGGCTGGCTCTGCTGTGTGACCTTGGGCAAGCCATCACCCTCTCTGGTCACCTCTTAGGAAGGAAGGCAGGAGCCAGGGCAGCTGGGAAGAGGCTGGGCTGGCAGGGGCACGAGGTGGGCTGCATAAGGAGACGCTGATTCAGGGG